CAGCAAGAATTGAACAACCGTATCTCTTGCTAGAAATTTTTCTAGAGAAACATTAAACAGAACCAATGAAAAAAGAAACTCCCCGACATCAACAAGTGACATGCGCATGTTAATGTAACTTGATACTGGAGGAGATGACAAGAGATAAAAAAGGGCGGCTAACTCAGTTGTGATCGTCAGTTCTTGGCAATATGAACTCCAAGCAGGTCTGTCTGCTCTTCGGATGCAGTATTCTTATGGCAAGTGTCTCCCATCAGTGGAGAATGTTCTTGACAGACTTAGAAAAAAAAAGAATTTCACAAATTAAATTGAGGAAAAATGTATCAACTTAAAGTCCCATCCTTCAGTTTATTGACTAATAGAACAAAAAAATTGTTCGCCTCCAGTTCTTGACAGCACCTGTCCGGACTACATTTGGATTGACATTTGAAGACTTCCTAACACAAGACCTCGGTGGTTCTGCAGCTTTTTCAAGCATGGTTTTCAACTTTTGCCTCGGATCTTGGTTCATTTCCGGTAATAAATTGTGTTTCCTGATTAAGTTTCTGTTCAAGCTGGCGTAAATCTTTTCTTTTTCCCCCAGGTCTATTCGGATCTCTTCTGACTCATAGAATTCCATGTCATTACATTGCTCTGATAGGCTCAATAGCATTGACAACCGGCGTGATTCTGAGCAGTTTTGCTTCTTCCTCATGGCACCTGTTCCTGACCTACAGCATTCTTGCTGGTAAGTGTCTTTTTTTTTTATAGGCAACGTTTTCTCTCATTTTTGCTCAGCTTCTAAATATAATTAAATTATTCAAATTCGGATAATCAAAATTAACATATACGCTCCATTTCACAGGCCTCGGAACAGGCTTCATCACTTCCCCAACATTCCTGGTGATTTGCAAAAATTTTCCAGAGAATCGAGGTTTTGCGTTGGGTCTCTACGGGGTAGCTGCAACTTGTGGATCTTTTACACTACCACTGGTCCTCGGTTACATTCTTGAGCTCGCAACTCAAAGAACAACAATCCTGATACACGGGATTATGACAGGTTTTACGTTAATCGGCGCATGTCTTTTGTGGAAACCCGGGCAGCACAAAGAGTAAGTCCTGAATACGCATCAAAGTTCCATGGCAATAATTCCCCTTTCCTCAAGAGACTCAGGGATGAAATCTGCATCGAAGTACTTTTACCTGGAAAATCTCAAAGACTGGAGAATTTGTTGCCTCATCATTAGTGACTCGATATTCTGGATTGCACAGTCCAATTTCAACTACATGCTCCCTCTGCATTTTAAGGAGAAACCCAAGCTATTTGTGGCGCAGATGATGACATTGAGTACCGGGATATTGATCATAGGTCAACTGACAATCCCTATTTTGGGGGACCAGAGGCTTTTGAGGTCTGAAAAAGGGTACCTTATTGGACTTGCGTCATTTGGACTCGGATTAGCAGGTAATTGTGAATTTTCTCAAGGACTACTTCATTTACTCAAGTACCACGCACAGTTTCAAGTAAGATTCACATCAGGGTTTTTCAGTATAAAATTTTGATGAAGTTGTACAATGCATGTCCCATTTTTGTGACTCTAAAACCGCAATATTCAAAAAATAAGCACCGAAATTTGAATTCAAACATGGACTGAACATAAACTTGAAAAAAGTTCAATTGTTTCCATTAAAACAAGTTCCTTTGCTTACACTTGGTCCAAAATTGTCCGTTAAAGTCAATTATAATGCACACCTAAACTTCTACAACTTCTTGAAATATGTATACCCATGTATGATGCGCACCCACTTTTCCTTTCAATTTTGAGTTAAAAAATGTGCATGTGGTACTCAAGTAAACGCATGTACAGTACTTATTTTCTCAGCAAGTCTCTTCTGATAGGTCTTGGAGTCAGTGAAAGCACATGGTTGGGGATTTGCGCCATGGGACTAAGTTCTTTAAGCATTGCAGCTTGCAGAACCTTCTATCCCTTGTTTGTCGTGGAGAATTTTGGCCTAGACAAACTCCCTTCTATCCATGGCTACATCACTCTCCTCAAAGGATTTCTAGTTCTCGGAGTCGGCATTTCCTTTGGTGAGTAATGATTATATTATAAACAGATTTTGATAAATATTCAGATCTTTCTAGGCAAACTGAGGGAACATCAAAATGAAGATTCCGTGGGTCAATGCTTATTCTTGCTAGCAGGATTGACAGCAGTAGGAACTATATGCTGGTCCACTTTGCTCCTGCAGATAAGACAAACTCAGGAAGCGTGATTGAAAAAAAAAAAAGCTTGAATAAATCACCTGAACCTATGAGCGAGCCTGATTTTTCATCATTCCGAATTTCTCTGATTGAATTTCAAGCAAAAATACAGCTACAAGTGATTGCATATTCAATTTCAGCAACAAATTAAGACAATTTAGTAAATCATATAAGTACGATCTCTGATTGAAGTTCAATAATTTGGAATTAAAAATTCTGATCAAATCTTTCTTTGACTGTTTCGTAACCCTCATCAATCCACTTCACCCAATTTTTCCTCTGCAACATTTCTTCAGAATAATTGAGAAAACGCGAACTTGAATTCAGCAATATCCTCACGCACAGTTTTAAAAAGTATGAACAAGATAATCAGATAAGAAGAAGATAAGTAGTTTTTTGAACCAATATTCAACCACTTGTTCAAGCCCCTGAACGTCGAGAAAAGTTGAAGTTGTACTTGAATTTACTACAGGCTTAGCGCACTGCTGAAACTATGGACAACATGATTTTTTTTTAAACCCAGACTTTTGTGACTCGGGTAACTAGAATGAATTTGACTAGAACCAATCAAAATTAAGAAAATAAACCCTTGAGGAATTTCCTACCAATTCCGGAACGAAGTGCTCTGTTACGGTGACTCAAAACTAAG